GTCCATTCGAACTTAGCTCCTTTCTTTAATGCTTGAAAAAATGGGAATCCTCGTTCGGCTGCTTGTGCGATGAATCTGTTGAGGCCTGCCAACCTACCAGCTAACGTCTGAGCTTCGCGTAGGTACCTTGGGGGCTTCATGTCCATCACCGTCTGCACTTTCTCTTTGTTTACTTGAATCCCTTGCTAGGTGACAATATATCCTAAGAATCGACCAGCTTTTACTCCGAACTTGCATTTCACAGGATTCAACTTCATGCCATACTTCCGCAGGGTAGTGAGTGTTTCTCTTAGGTCATTAACGTGATCCGCTGCTACTCTACTTTTGACTAGCATGTCATCAACGTATACCTTCATGTTTCTGCCGATCTATCCCTCAAACATCCGATCGACCAAGCGTTGGTACGTAGTGTCTGCGTTCTTCAATCCGAATGGCATGACCACATAACAATACATTCCTTTCGAGGTAACGAAGCTGACCCTCTTCTGATCCTCTTCCGCAAGCGCAATCTGGTGGTAGCCTTGTGACGCGTCCATCATGCTGAGCAGCTCACATCCTGCCGTTGAGTCTACCAGTTGATCGATATGGGATAACGGGCAATGATCCTTAGGGCAGGCTTTATTCAGGTCCCGAAAGTCTATACACATCCTCCATTTGTTCAACTCCTTCTTCACCATGACTGCATTCGACAACCATTCTGGGAGCTGAATCGGTTTGACATGCCCTGCTTGTAGCAGCTTGTTTACTTCTTGCTCAATAATTAGGTCCAACTCGTGTCCAAAGTGTAGACGTTTCTGCTTCACGGGTCTCACCCTATTGTCGATGTTCAAATGGTGTACTGCCAGATTTAGGCTGATACCCGTGAGTTCCTCTGGGGTAAAGGCAAAGACTTCTACGAACTCCCTCAGCATTTGTATCATCTTCTCTTGTAGAGGTCCTTTCCGATGCGGGTAGTCTTTCCTTCTACACCCTCTACCAGTTCGATCTCCATCAGCTCGTCCTGTGTGGTCATCTCCACCTTTGGCCGTTTCTCGGGTCGATCCTCTTTCATGCCAGATCGCTCTTTGCCTTCCTCTCTTCTTTCGTTAGATTGTCCGTCTTTGAGTGTGACCTGGTAGCACCTCCTTGCGATTTTTTGATTGCCAACGACCTCTCCCACCTTGTCACCAACTGGAAATTTCATCTTCATGCAATACGTCGAGATGGCCACCTGAAAGGTGTTGAGGCTTGGTCGTCCAAGTATGACCCGCTCCACATCATAGTTCGCTATCTCAGCCGTGACCACCAACGTCATTATGTAGCTTAACGACATCCCTGAGATCTGAAGGTCCGAAGTGGATGAGAGGTATTTCTTCTGCGATCTGCACTTCTCCTCTTTGTCTGTCCTCGTCGAGAGATCTTGCATGACGCTTTCTCGCTTGGTTGGAATCTCCATCCGTAGGCCCACCCGATATCATGTGTATCACCACTTTCTTCTTGGGTGCCAGGTTGGTCTCCTTGTCGCGTCCCCGCTTCTCCACTCTTTCTTATCTCTCCTTTGGTCTTTATCCCTCAAGACGAATTCCTTAATATGTCCAGCGCGTATCAGCCTTTCTATCTCATCCCTCAATTCCTTACAAGTATCCGTGCTATGTCCATGATCCCTATGGTATCGACAATAAGCATTTGGTAACCTGCTTAATGGCATTCCATTCCTTTTCGGGAGGGGTCGAGGTCGATCTAGCCACGATAAATTACCCTTCCTTTCCAGCACCTCGAAGACCTGTTCCCTCGTTGTGGCCAGTGGCGTATATCGGTCAAACCTTTGTCCTGGCTTCCAGTTTCTTTCCTCTACTTGTTTGCCTTCGCGTCCTCCCCGACGATCATCACTTTGGGGAGGTTTTTGTTCATCTCTCATGTCTTTCTCCTTCTTAGGTTCACGCTGTATAAAATCGGCCTGTGACTCTTCTATGTTGATATACATGTTATAGCGCCCCAGCAACTCATCATAGGATTCAGCTGGTCGCTTGGCCAGCGAGTCTCTAAATGGTCCCAGTCGTAACCCTCTCGTTAATCCTCCAGCTTTGATCTCCTCCGTAGCCCGTGGCACCTCGACGCACTCTCGCGTGTACCTATCTACATACGCTCTTAATGGTTCATGTTCCCTTTGCTGTATGTTAATTAACGATGGGTAAGTTTTCTCGTGTTTTCGAGCGCTTAAGAACTGGTTGACAAACATCGAGCTGAATCCCTTGAAGTCCTTTATGGTTCCAGGTGCCAATTGATGGAACCAATCTTCGGCCGGTCCTTTCAGTGTGGTTAACAGAACTCGACAGCATACTGGATCGCTGTACTTGTGCAACACCACTATATTTTCGAAGCTTCTTAAGTGCCTTGTGGGATCAGTCGACCCATCATAGTATATTTGTAGCTTGCGGAACCCAGTTGGCAGTTCAGCGTCGATCACGTCAGCTATGAAGGGATTTCCATGGATCGTAGGCCCCGAACTTCTGCTTTCGACTTTCTCCTGCAGCTCGCGAAGTTGCACCGCCATCTGTTCTATCAACGGATCTCGGCTCTTCGGAGAGATGGGGTCTCGCTTTGTTTGCAGTGTGGGTGCAGGTGAGTGAAAGGATCTTTCCTCTTCAACCTCCCTTGACATTTCGCTCTGCTTTGCGGTTCGACATGTTGTTCTACAAGCTGAACTGGCTGCTCCGCAGATCGAACCCTCCCCCCTGCTGGTGAGGGAGTGCGCGCCGCTACCGCATCCGTGATCATCCTTTCCAGCTCTGACCTGGTGATGTGCAACGTCGGTTCGAGAGTGCTAGGTTGATTTTGAGGGTTCACCGCCAGTCCTTCTCGTCCGCCCGTCACCACCAGAATGTTGGGTGTTTCCATCTCCATCGTCACTTGACGTCTAGCCTCTGGAGACGGCGTCCTAGTTGGTTCCTCGCCGGGAAGCCATTCACGCGGCGATCCAGCTCCCATTGGCCGGGTGTGCAGCCATGAAGTATCTTCTTCATCCCTGCGAGGTGTGTCTTTGTCTCCCATTTTTCACTTACCAAATGAATTTCTTTGTTATGAGAGTACCACCAAGCCGCCGGTTGAGCTGGGGTCCCACAGACGGCGCCAATTTGATAAGGTTCCGGGTAAACGGCTCCGGTTCAGAACGGTCCTTGGTTCAAGGGTGCGTCTCCCTTTTTCTGGTTCCCGGTCTGAGATGGAGCTCGTGAGTACCTGCAAAGTATGCCGGAGGTTTTCCGGCGTAAAACCCTCCAAAGCTTAAGTCAGTATTTTGGGAGACGAGTAAGGAAGAAGATGAACAGTAATAAGGTTTTAGTAGTTGAATAATAAATGTGTCTTGAATGTATCTTACACTGTTTCTGTATATATAGGCAATTATCACTTGGATGGTTATCTTAAAAATATTCGCATTAATTCCCAATTATTCGTGAGGTCAAGGGTCGAGCCCCTCAAGCTCGATCATGCAGCTGGGCCGATTTCAAGGGTTACGACCCTTATCTCGGGCGGTTCGATCTATGTGCCTTATCTCGGGTAGTTCGATCTATGTGCACTTATATCCCTATCAACCCTGTCGGAGTCTTTTTAGTTTAGTAGTGTTTTTGTGTTAGTGTTTTTGTGTCAGTGAGTATTACCCCATTGAGGTCGGCTCTAGGCGGTCTTTTGACTGTCCTCCCACTTTATTCAGCAATGGGCTGTTTATATTCAGCTGCTAGCTGTTTATATTAAGCTGCTGGCTGTACTTTTGTAATTTTGGATGGTTTATATATAAAATCTCTATCGTTTCGGAAAAAAAAAAGTATATGATAAGAGAGAGAAAATCATCCATAATTTTTTCCATGTTCAAGAAATAATTCTGTAAAATATACAATAAATAAAAAACATGTATATTTTTTATTGAGATTGTCTCGACCAAAACATATATGGTATATAAACACAACATATACAATTTTTCTTTTGGTGAGATTGTGTCAATAGGAACATATACAGTTTATCTCTTCATACAATTTTTTCTTTCTTACTTTCTTTCTCGTATTTTTTTTCTTTTGATGATTTTTTTTATGTGTGTTTTATTGATATATATTGTTTTTTATTTCGTAAGAATTGCAGCTACAACAAACTTATATGTTGCGTTTCTAGTCGCTAAAATTTTTCATGTTTTGAATGAGCAGTATATATAGAGTTGATAGTTAGTGTATATTCAGTATATATTGCAATAATCTGCTTCTATTAAAAAAGAACAACAAATTGCTCATTTGTCAATTTTCATGTTCAACAAAAAAATCTACTAATACCAAACATAAACTATGAATAAACATCAAATAAATATTGAAAACAGGAAAACCAAACATACATTCACAAAAAGTACTCAACAATTAAAACATAAACACATATAAGAACAAAAAAAAACATTCATATACATAATTATGAGAAATATCCAAAACGATATAAACAATAATCAACCAAAAAATAACAAATTGCTCATTTGTCAATTTTGCCGTCAACATTAAAAAAAAAAACTTCTAATACACCAAACATAAACTATGAATAGCATCAAAATAAGATATGGAAGCCGACGGGAACATATATATACTGAAAATATATTGTATGTAAACGGAACATATATCAAAATCTATTAAAAGTACATCCTAACGTAGAGGAATCTATAGTTATGATCAGCTCTTACCGTTTAAAATTTTATTGACTCTGTACAGACATACATGGCCTACGTGCCCGAATGAACATTTCTAAGACGCGTCCTTTTAACCTTGTTCCTTCCATACACGTCCTCGGTCGAGTGGCTCGTCCATCGCGATCACCACGACATGCCTCTCAGTGTCCGAGTCACATCTCGCATTGTCTTGGGCTTGTTGGACTGCTATTGGACCGCACCCAAGTAGCTAGATGTGGTTTGGACTCGCTATGGCTCGTATGGTGTGTGGACGAGTCGCCAGGTGCACGCTGGTCTTGGCTAGTGTCGTGTGAGTTGCACTGGTGGCATGGTGGTCACGCTGGTGCCGTGGGCATCAGCCGCACTATCGCGCTGGGACACGTTGCTAAGCCCCGATGCACTCTGGTGGGCCGCGCTGTCACTGGGATGCACTGCGTTTTACATGGGTCATTTGCGGGATGCGCACAGTCTTCTTCAGGTTGCACGCGGTCGTTTTAATGTTGTGGGCGGTCGTCTGTTGGAAGTAGGGGTGAGCATGAGACTCGGAGAATTTCAAACAGTTCAAAAAACCGAACCAAAATCACTCCCAATTGAAAAATAATCGTTGACCATTTGACTTTCTCCGAACCGAACTGAACTGAAAAATTAATTGGTATGGTTTTGGAGATTTCACAAATATCCTTACCGAGATAACTCAAGAGATAGAGGGCATGAGGACAGTTCCTTATGCATCGACAGTAGAAAGTCTCATGTATGCAATGTTGTGCACGAGGCCGAATATTAGCTACGCCATTAGCATGGTAGCTAAATATCAAAGTAATCCAAGTATGGAACATTGGTCTACGGTGAAACATATACTCAAGTACCTATAGGTACTAAGGAGTACATCTTAGTTTACCGTACAGACAGCTTGTTGCCGCATGGTTACAACGATTCTGACTTCTAGTCAGACTGGGACAAAAATAAATCTGCCTCAGGCTATGTATTTACTCTTGGAGGTGGAGCCATTTCATGGAGAAGTGAAAAGTAGAAACGCATGGCAGTCTCCACTATGGAAGCGGAGTATGTCACAACCTCTGAGGCAGCGAAAGATACAGTTTGGCTCAGGGACTTCTTGGTGAACTTAGAGATGATTCCGAGTTTGCCATAGGATATCACTGTCTACTGTGATAACAGTGGTGCAGTAGCAAACTCAAGAGAACCACGAGCCCACAATTAAACACATAAAGCACAACTACCACCTGATACGAGAAATATAGAAAGAGAAGACGTCGAGGTTATCAAGATTGCATCAGAGGACAATCTAGCTGATCCTTTCACAAAGAGTTTACCATAGAAGGTCTTCGTTAAACACGTAGAAGGAATGGGAGTTAGATGTGTGGCGATAGAATCGACATGGGCCTTTTAAAATAAGGATTGAAAGACGTACACTTGTAAAAGAGAAAGCTTTAAGTATAAATGGGAGATTGTTAGTGTATATACTGAAAGCTTAGCTTTAGATGTTATTTACACTAGTTCTGTTGAATGAGAATCGTGTTTGATTAAGAAAGTTCTATGTTCTGTTGCTTTGTACTTAGATAAAATAGTTCATCACAGATGGACATAAGATTATTTTATCAGTCACTTGTGAAACAAGAATGATTGGTCACAACCTAGATGAAAAATAACAAACTATCAGAATGGTTGTAGTGTCAATTGTACAATTGATCTTGACGGATTAGTACTAGTACACTTGTGTATTGAACATGATCTCAGATAGGAGCAGTTCATTTTATAATGATCGTCGTAAATGAACTAGGCCTCAGTTAATTACTGAGTTCTCTTAACCTGTAATATATAAACAGGCCCATCTCTTAACCTGTAAGATATAAACAAGCACATGTATGTAGTAGACATTGCTTTGATTCACCAAACGGTGAGGTTCACTCTGTCTGGGCTAAAATTGTGGGTGAGTTGGTAGTGATGTTGCATGCATGGTGTATTGTTCAAATATTTATGGTCACCATGTGCGTTAGTTTGATGATGTCCCCGAAGTGATCCCATGAAGGATTATTATGTTAAACCCTGCAGGTGGATTAAGTTCTGACACAATACTAATGGTTTGAGTGGTACTAGCTTTAGTTCAATATGTCGATAAATTTGACTGTCAGTAATCGAACTAATTGACGAACATTATATCTTAAACATGGGGAGGTAATTTGGATAATTATTATTGGAGTTTCAAATATAATTCAGGGATGATGAAGGACTACAATAATGTTTTGTTAGTGGACTGAAACATTATTTAAGTCATTGAGCGGATTGGGCTTTGCCCATAGTTAGGCCCAAGGCTTAAGAAGCCCACATCATCACCTCCTTAGGGTCCCTGTTGTAGCCCTCTAAATACACCATGTATCTCTTGAAATTGGACACACATAACCACACGCATAAACATGTTTGGCTGGCCTAATTTCCCAACAAGATCATCTCCAAGCTTGTTTCCCACGAAGACAACTAAAGAGGTTTCGCGTCATATGGAAGAACGCCCTGAGGTTGACGAGGCCTCCCAACGAGCCACTGCATGCGACCACGCCCTGTACGCCCTCAACCGAGATGCTGTCCCGACAACCCCGTCTGCAACACGATCGCTGCCAGCCCAGCTTTCATCCGCCAGTGACCTAAGAGATCCTCAGCGAGCCCTGAGACGTGACCAGGCGACCCGAGCGCCTGACCGCTATAACCCGCGAGCACTACATCCGCACGACCTGCACAAGATTGAACCCGTTTGATCCGCGCGACATCCTAGTGACTCTGAGAAATCTGACGAGGCCAGATTTCCAGCTAGTGGAAATTAGACGATCTCCATCAGCAGAAATCTACAGCATCTCAGAGTCTGCAAAAATTTTAAGCCGTAAGTTTTCTAAGCTAAACCTTACACCCACTACGTATAGGTTATTTTGTAGAGTTTAATTTGTGACTTGCACATAGGGACGATCTTTACCAGTCCATTAGCCTCGACTTGCCCATTAAATTGAGGTTGAGAAGAGGTAGTAAAGTAATTCTTGATATGTAACTCTTCACAAAAGAACTTGAATCTTCTACTATCAAATTGTTTTTCATTGTCAGTAACGACCGAATGACGGTTTTCGAATCGATAGATGATTGTCTTCCAAACAAAGTCGATCATCTTTTGGTCGGTAATACTCGCCAAATGTTCAGCTTCGGCCTATTTTGTGAATAAAGAACCACCCCCAACTGCAAATTTAACCCTCTCTTGGTGATCGTAAAGGGGCCTATAAGGTTGATTGCCCATTTAGAGAACTTTCATGAACTGAATACCGAAGTGAGGGATTGGCAAGGTTGTCATTGTTAAGGAACAAAAAACTTACATCGATCACACTTTCAAACCATTTCGAGGGCATCTTTATTTAATGTGGGCCAATAATATCCTTGTCACAATATCATGTATGTCAACATGGCCCCCAGAATGATTACCACAAACTCCTTCATAGACTTCTTGGAGAACATATGAAGCTTCTTCGTTATTGAGGCATTTTAGCAAGAGCTAGGAGTAACCGCATTTGTACAGGACTCTGCTTAGGCATGATCATTCGGTAGAACATCTTTTTCATGAAAGGCGCGTATAGAGGTTGCCGAGTCAGATTTTCTCTCTAGCTCACCAGCCTTATCCACGGACATTATTTCGAGGGTCGGTCGGGTATGATGTTTGAAGATCACATAGTCGACTTGATCGGCCCCAGTGCTAGAAGCAAGACAGGTTAGTGGATCATCTTGTGTTTTCTCACTCTGAGGAATATGCCATAGATCGATACGAAAATGTAGGAGTTTCTTCTTGGCCAAGTCAAAATAAGGGACTAGATGAGGCTTTTTTACTTCAAACTTCCCATTAAGGTCATTGACGACCACCAAAACATTGAATCAGGTAATAGTCTTGCGTAAGCTGTGAGCAATAACGTCTCAGGATAACACACTCTATGTTTTGAACTCGGGTATTGAACATGGGGACATAGTCTTTCAAGCTCTCATCATCTCCTTGGTTGATTTTGAGATCAGTTCTTTTGGAACTATGCAAACTTGCAATCCTACGAAATGCATGCTGAACGCCGATCGCAACTACTCCCAGTTGTGGATCGACCTTGGGGCCAGCAAGTGGTACCAGCGTTGGGGTTTGGGCCCCAACTTAAGAGAAAAATTTCGGCATCACAAGGCATCACTTGTTCCGTAGAAATTCATCCACGAAGTGTATTGGCCAAGATGGGAGTCGAAATTTGTGTCGTTGTTATAGAGGGCAATCTGGGGACCTTCATTTTGACAGGGAGCACCTCAATCAAAATATAAATAGAGAGGAGAGGTCGGGTCCATGGACGTACCACCTGGAGATGATAGTGGGTTGAAGGTCGGCCGATTTGCCGCCTCCAAAGTTGGACGGGCTTCAAGCTTGACTATCCGCGGCTTTAGCGAGACGATCTCCTCCAGCTCTTTTGGAAGGATCTTTTTTAGTGATGTGTTGTCGGAGATTATCTTGTTCATGATTGTTGGCCAATCGATTGAACATCGATTGAGCATTTGAGCTTATGGCGGTCCCAAACGAACATGTCTTCACCTGTAATTTCATGGTCCTTTGGGGGGTGACCGGCCTTCTGCTTGCCCTTATCGTGTGATTGTTGATGGCTATGAGAATGACCATCTTGAGATGCCGAGACGAGTGGCTAAAGGGGGACTATTAGGAGTGGGATTTTGTGGTGGATTGTAATAAGAAATAGTTTGGAATATTTGAGCAAAAAGGTCGGTAATACCCTTGAAAAAGGCAAAATTTTAAATAATTTAGGTGATATCATTATGAGGGAGAGAGTTAACCTTGTTTTTTGGGTTGCATGAGGAAGACATGGCTGTTTACGCCTGCAAAAACTTGTCATACACAAGTGAGTATGGAAAGATCCATAAAAACCCTTGATTGGGTCCTTCTTCTAGCGTCAAATGATGATAACAGAATGTTACCAAAATAGATGTACGTATATAACGAGTAAATTTGCTCAGTGAAAGAGATCGCCTTATAGACAAGAGATCGACATTGAATAGTAATTAAAAAAAAGTGTGTAGTTATTTGTATTATTCTTGAATATGTGTCTTTTTTAATGAATTATAATCTTCACTTCATATTTATTATCTTTTTTTTAGCATAACAACATCAATGTTGGAAAATCACTTGTGAGTTGTCCCACATTGATTTGATTGTGTAAATGAGTCTAGTTTATAAGCCTAGTGGGCTACTCCTCCCATCACGAATTTGGTTTTTGGATGGAACCTTACTAAGGCGCAACTAGGTTCACCCTCTTATCGTGCGCTTCACTGTGTGCGCCCGCACCACTGATGCCCCGATTATTAAAACTTTGACAATCAACATAGAGATGGCCATATGCCGGACCGGCCCGGTCAAGCTCATGGACCGTGGGCATTGAATCGGTTTGTAGTTTTACCGGAGCCGATTTCGGTTCACGTTTTTATTTATACAAATTGAACTGCTGGTCATTTCCAAACCGACATACTAATTTTGAACCGTGAACCGTCGGATCATTGAACCTGCCCATATATTATCGAATCAATTCAGATTCACTCAGTGGCAGAGCCAACCTTTGGCTAGGGTGAGCTCCAGCCCCATGTCCCAAAAAAAAAGTATTTGCTAATCTTTTTTTTAAAAAAAAAAATTATACAAGCCCCATATAATTTTTTATGTATTCCCATTTAATTTCGGGGGCTGGATGCCTCAAGATTCAGGTCGAATTTTTGTATCTGACAACAATAGTGGAAAAGCGATGATTGTAGTGAGAGAAAAAAAGATAATCCTTTATTTTCAAATGACATTTGTGACCTTATTAGATTTTTATCAATTGGGTTTATAATGTGGCCCAACACACTCTTGTCTTTTAAATTTTTAATGGGCTGACTTGACAAGTACCAAATGGGTTAGATAATTAAATTTGATGCATACTTCTCCTGTGGTATATATAATTGGGCTCGTCTCGTTACACAGTTCGTTATCCATTTTCATTTGTTTTTTTTTATTTCACCTCCAATAACTAATTTGGCCTCATTTCCTAGACAAAGAAAAAACTCTTACAGAGTTGATTGCAAACATGTTCGACTCTATTTGTTTGATCGACAAGTTCGATTAGCTATTTGAGTTTGGCTTGTTTAAATACATAAGCGAGTCGAGATTGAGCTTTCCCAATTCAAACCGAAATATGTTAACAAATAATTCGGTTCTAGTTATGACCAAAACCTGTTACGGGTCGAAACCGTCGATCCCGAGCCGAGAGTTGGAGGGCCCTGAATGCA